TGCTGTGGAGAAACTGTGTGGAACGTGCTGAACTGGTCGGAGGAGTTTCTGTGGACACAACAAAGTTTTGTGGCTACTGCTCCACATTGTTGTGACAGCTTGTAAATCTCCAATTTTTGGTGGAGCGTTCTTTTAAATAGGTCAGATTCCTAATTTACAAGGTTTGCGACATAAGCTACATAACATTAAGGAACAGAGCTGCTTAGTTTGAAGCATAGACGCTGGATTAATGTACTTGAAGTGTGTGTGTTATCTAGGAAAATGGTATCGGATTGGGATTCGGTATCAGCAGATGCTACATATTTAATGACTCGAACCGGATCAGGGGGGAAGAAAAAGAATACCTTGATGGGGACATCCCTATCGGAGGATGTTGGAGGTCAGAGGTCGCTGCACCCAGTCAGTCTCGATAAGCTTTAGCGATCGTGTACAATATGAACCTGCAGGAAACATGAAGCAGAAGCAAAGCAGAGGAGGCGTTCCTCCTTGCTGAGCTGCTCGGTCCCCTGCTTCCTTCTCCTCCTCCTCCTCCTCCTCCTCCCCCCCACCCGGTGTCTCTGAGTCATGTTGAGAGGCTGTCAGGGGCTTCATCACCATTCAGAGTCAGCGCAGTGCTGTGAGCAGCTGCATTCGCTGGCCGCACATCGCCTTCTGCTGCAGGATGTTAACGCGCGTGCCACATGTGTGATGATTTTCCTGGTCATGTTTAGGTGTTAGACGGTTTTATATGCATGGGGCGTATCATTTTATGTGTGTGTGTGTGTGTGTGTGTTGGTATGTGACATTGGCTAATCTCATTTCAGTGTAAGTGTGTGTCTGAGAGTGTGTGACAAAGAACAGGACACACCAGCAGAGCGTCATATAAGGCAGAGGAGAGCCGCTGTGGTATGTGAGGCTCTTACCATCACGTGTGTGTGTGTGTGTGTGTGTGTGTGTGTGTGTGCAGCTCTGCTCGTCCAGTGTTCCGGTGCAACATGTGTGCATTTGTGTGTGTCATGCCCAAGGATGTTGTTATTTATCGACGGCTTCAAAGGAGAGAAGAAGGGAGAGAAGGAGGGATGATGGAGGAGGGAGAGAGGCCGGGTGGAAACAAAGAAATCAATCAGCCTGTCCTCGGAGTTTATAAGGAGGAGAAGGAAAGATGGAAGGATGGAGGGAGGATGAAGAAGGGAGCGAGAGGAAGATGGAGGAGAGAGATAAGGAGGGCGAAAAGGGAAAGAAGCGAAGAGAATGGAAGAAAAGAAATTGAAGGGCAAGAAAGGGGGGAATGAAGAGGATTAAGATAAGGTAGAGAAGAGAGGAGGCAATGCAACATTTAGAAGAAAGAGGAAGGAAGGTAGGAATAGGTTGTAGGGAGAGATGGTCAGAGAAGAAGAGGAAAGGGTTGAGGAAAAGGGGGAAGGAGAGAAGAGAAGAGGAGAGGAAACAGGATGGATCTATGGGGGAGGAAAAAAAGATCAGTCAGTTAAAAGACAGCAAAGGCGGATGTCAGGAAAGAACAGGGGAACCCGAGGAGAGGAAAAAAAGGATGAAAATAAAAGCAAAGGATGCTGGACAGGTGAAGGAAAGAGGTGAGAGGGGCGAGGGAGGGAAGATGAGAGGAGCGATGAGCCGAGCGGCGGACGAGTGGAGGAGGGGGATGAGTCAGGCGCACGTGAGAAGGATGTGAGCTGCATGTTAACGAACGCACACACACACGGCGAGGTGGAAACACACCTGCATCAGCAACTGGAGGGAGCCGAGGCGATGGGAGGGTCTTATAGAGGGCATCCTCCTGTCGTCCATCTCCCTCCTCTCTCACTCCTCCCTTCTTCTTCTTCTTCTTCTTCTCTATCAAGTCACGACTGCCCCTCCTCCTCTATCCCTCTTTCATCCTCGTTTCTGACCTACATCTTTCTTTTCCTCCCTTTTTCATTCTTCATTCCTGTATCGTACACTGTAAAAATGTTTCTGTAAAATAAAAATTTAAAAAAATAATCAATAAAAAATTCACATTCAGTAATTGTAACAGGGAAAAAGGTGGAAAATATCTGTGAAATAGTATTTTTAGCTGATTTATATACAATTAAATTGTACAGTTAGACAGTGTAAAAGAACAAAATACAACTTTTTTCCCCCTAATTTTACAAAACAGAGAACCATTTTAAATAACAGTAAATTGCTCTATATACGGCGCTTAACAAATGTATTAGAACACCACCTGATGTAAGGTTTATGCCACAGCTGCCCTAAATTAACAGCATTGGTCATTACCTAAATATGTTTTTTATGTTTCTGTAATGGTTAATACACCAGTATGTCGAAGGTCTTTAACCAAAATGATATTCTTAATGCTGAAATATAAGTATTATTGCTATCCATGAATTTTCTAATTTACTGTTTCACAAGAAAAGAAAAGAAAAAAAACTGAAAAAATATAAAAGCACATTATTATGTCTTGATGAAGATGTCAAATATGGTTTTGTACTTGCATTCCTGAACAGAAGATTGTTTTAATGGTTGAATGTGATGCTTGATTAGAGAAGTCCAGTGGCTCAGATTTGGGTATAAAAAGGTGAATTCAGTTTTAAATCCCTCATTCCTGTTCAGAATGGTAAACTAATGGCCCTTCATGATGCTGGATGGTCTATATATATATATATATATATATATATGTATATATATGGTGCTTAACAAATCAGATCTAATGCATTTGTTCGGCACCGTGTTACAATGAAGAGCTATTAATTTTTTTACAGTGTACCTTTGCCTTCCCTTCCTTCTCTTCTGATAATCTTTCATTCATTCCCTTCTCCACCTCCCCCTCTAACATTTACATCTCTCTGTGTCTCTCTTTCCATCCGTCCATCCTCTTTTTCTCTCCAGCCTACTGATTGGCTCTTTGATCAGGTCTCCTCTGATCCACTGTGTCACTCCGCTCTGTAGTTTATGAAACCATAAATGATATCAGCTCACGTTATCTATTCCTTGACCCAAATAAACACTCCTCACGCTGACCAAATAAACGCACATAAACTCAGCAGCGAGGGGACGAGTTGCACTTGGAGCTTCACGAGGTCGTATATCAAAGCTGCAGACATGTATTTTAGTGATTAAAACCTACGGGTGAATGTAGTTTTCAGTTATGGAAGTTAAAAAAAAAAAAGTGTGTCTGTGTGTGCAGAGATCCGGTAGCACATTTGTGAAAAAGCTCTCTGATTGTGAAGTGTCGTCCAACAATTATGAAGTGATAGACAATCACAGTTATGCACCACGAGGACATTTAAAATATGTTGTAATGATGAGAAACAAGGCAAAGTACTTTCCTAAAAATCTATTAAAAAAACAACAAAAAAAAGTAAGCAGTAATTACAAAGCATGAACTCAAATTCAAACACAGAGCGGCAAAGGAAGAAAATAATGAGGCAATAACTGCAGGGAGGGAAGAGAAGCCAGAGATTGATGATCGTGCACTGCTTTGTAGAAATGGCGATAATTAATTGTTATAGCCTATTGTTAATTCATCACGAGTGCGTGCCGGTTGTTGATTAGTGGTAGTTTTTGGACAATATAAATACAGTTAATTGCTTCTATGAGAACGGTTTATGATGATTAGTCATGATAGAGAAGGAGGGAGGAGGATGGAGCATGGCTAGTGGCTTCGTTAGCTTCTTTTTTTTCTCTGTTTGTTTGTTTGCAGTCTTACAGTTAACTGATGAAACTTGAGCTGATCGCTGATTATCGATGATCCAGCTGCACATAAATCAGACTGAACTATTTTGAAAATGCAGTAGTTGGAGATGTTGATAATTTGGTGGTTTTCGTGTGTTTTGAACATCAATATAGTCATTGATCATCAAACTCATTTTTTGACTTGATTCATCACCTCTGCTTCGTTAATACTTCAGTGAATTAAATGGCATTTGCTTTCCACACGTAAGTCGAACAGTATCTTTATTGTTCTGATATTTCCTGATTCCAGACAATCGTCCCGACAGAATTATAAAAAAAACGGCTCTACTGTCACTGTTTTACAGTGATGATGTGAGTCCATGAAAAAGCAAACTCCTGCTGTTGTAGGAGTGATACTAGCTATCACTACACAGGCTACAGTGGCAGAATTCAATACTGAACACTACCTCTTTTAACCAATTTTTACTTTGTGTCGAGAATTTTTTATTTTTTTCCCCTCAAACTAAAAGACTTTGTCAGGCATTAATCCCACTGGATGGTGGAGAAGTTTAATTGTGGCGCTTATTCATGTCCTCAGACAGAATCGCTCTGAAGATTCAGTGACAAAATACCAAAGAAGCAGCGTGCAGCCCATTCAGTCAGTTTGAAACAGGACTAGCTCTGTGGAAAACTGATAGCGAATGAAAACCATCTGTTCGATTCAGTTTGAACGACGGTTTAACTGGTCGACCCAGTCTGCTCGCCCAGAGAGAAGAATAGAAAAAGGAAGTGTGTGTGTGTGTGTGTGTGTGTGTGTGAGAGAGACGCATAGACCGGTAACAGAGCGTGTTTCCTCATCGTGCATACAGTCGGACGCTGATCTCTCTGAAAACAACTGACGTGAGCAAACACAGTCACGTTTAGCAAATATGGCATGCTGGAATTTTTTACATCAAAAATCCAGTCGGACAACTTTTCTGTCTGTAAATGTTCACTCCTGTTTTCTCCTCCTCACAGTCTTTCCTTCTTTCCCTTAAAATTTCCTCTTTCGTTCTTCCTCCCCCCCCGAGAGACCGCAGTCGTTTCCCTTCACAGCGAGTCACGTACACACACTTCCTGCTCGTCTTCTTTCGCTGTTCTCACAATGACGGGGCTCAGATGTTTCTGTCTGAACCTCAGCCATGTGTGATGACTGGCGACCACGTGGCTGCCACTTTTGAGGAGATTGAGAAGTTCTTGAGGGTGTTGCACAGGTTTTCAAGAAGTTTCCTCAGGTTCTTTTAGGGATTCTTCAGGAGGTGTTCTTGGTTCTGTCTGGAGGTGTCTAAAGGGTTCTTTCGACAGTTATAATGTTGACTGAGGGGGACCGACAGGAGTCTTTGGGAGTTCCATACATTCTACAAGGTGTTGCAGAGGTTCTACGAGGGTTTTATGAGGTTATTGAGTTCGTCAAAAAGGAGGTCAAGTCAGAGTTGTTTTGGAGATTTCAGGTGATTAATGTTTGAGAGACGAGGCGAGCAGAAGTTTTCACAGGCTAATGAGAGGTTTTCAGAATGTGCCAAGTTTCTTTGAAGAGGCCCGATGCTCTTTGGGGGTTACAGTAGTGTTTGGTGCTCGCAGGGTTTCTTGATGGGGTCTAAGGCTGTAGGGGGGATGTTAATCAGTTCCTTTAGCAGGAGGTTTTCAAGGAGGTTTTTGAGCGGAGTTAGATAGCTCTTGAGGCTGATGCAGGAATGCACAGGTCTTCTTTAGTGGCGTTTAAAAGGTTCTGGGTTTCTTTGAAGGGGTCCAGGGATTGCTGGGGGTTACAGTAGTGCTTGTGAGAGTTGTCGGGGTTCTTTAGGGGGCTAAAGGTGTTGGGGGAGGATATGAAATTTACAAGGTTCGCTGAGGGGACTCTAGAAGTCTTTAGTGGAGGTTTTTGGCTCCTCAAGTTCTTCAAGTACCCAGGAGTCAGTGAGGGGGTTGTCCTTGTGAGGAGTTAAATGGATCTTCAGTTTCTTTAGGTGTTGGGGCCTCTGGATGGGTTTCTAGAAGTTCTTGAAGAGCTTCTAGGCAGTCGCAATGACTTTCAGGGATCCTAAAAAAGAGTCCAAGGAGTCCTTAAATGGAAATAAAATATATATACTGAGTTTCATAAGGAGGACTTGAGAATCTTTAATTGGTTTTACCAGTTTGTTGTTCAGTTTTGTGTAATTTTAAACATTTGCCTGCGAATATTTAAACATTTGTGAAGTGATTCATTACTGCTGAAACTGAGTCACAACATTTTTGAGTGAGGAAATAATCTACTGCGGAAGGTTTTCTAACTAAATAAAACTCCAAAAACAAAGCCTGAACAGCCATGTGCCACCGTGACCAGAGTTCACAGATTAAACAGAGTAAACAGTGCGGCTCATTTTACTGATTACCGTCCCCTCAGCCAGCGTAGGGGAACTAATCACCTGAAGACCTCTCGGGTCAAGGTCGTACTTTGTTGTGAGCCACCGGGACTTGTGCAGGCTAAAGGCATGGAGACACTTTCACAATGACTGCTGGTGTATGTGACACGTTTTCTGTCTGATGCTGCATTGTGACAGGGCAGATGCCTCTATTGGTTTCAGTGTTGAACCGCCTTTAACATGGAAGTCTCATTATCTGTAATGAGTAGCTGTTGAGAGATGAAGGGCTGTTGATGAGAGCTCCTTGCGACTCCCGACAGCGAACAGTGTAATAATATACAGTATATGCCAGATGATGGAGGCTTTTATCCAAAGTGCCTCACGGTGCTTCAACTGCATACATATTTTAGAAAGGGTGGCCCGATGGGAACTGAACCCCGAATTCTAACAATGTAGAGAACTTTAGAGAAAACACTAACCCCAGCAGTCTTAGAGAAGGAGCCGGATAACTCCCCATGTTTGGGAGATTGTGCTTCAAAAAGCAGTGGTTACAGAGAAAGCATCATTTCCTTTCTTATGGCACAAAAGAGCAAAGTGGCAGACACCAGTGATGAACTTGTTCTTATCTCACTGAGGATCTACCCAGCTGTGATCAGCCCCACGTTTTTTTTTTTGGGTTCACATTACACATGTGCTTTTCTTGTATCTCAAAAGAACCAAACTCCTGGGAGTTGTGCTTTAATCATGATGTTTAAGTAACGCGACCTTTCCGTCTCTTTTTCCATCTTCAGTATGGGGAGGAGGAGGTGTGTTCGGACCGCTTGGACACTGACTTCCCGGACATCGACCTCTCCCAGCTGGACACCAGCGACTTTGACAGCGTCAACTGCCTCAGCGAGCTGCAGTGGTGCAACGATCAGCCGGCAGATGTGTCACCAGCCTCTATTCACTACAGTACAGCAGATGAGCTCTTCGAGGTGAGGCTTCGTCGCCGACATGCAGTTCTGTTACACTGTGCAGCTGATGTTGCTCAGAAGTCAGCTGTGGACTCGTTCTTCTGCTGCACCAGAAATCTGTGCAAGCTGTTTAATTATAGAAGTTTCCATGACAGCATTTTTTTTTCGTGAACAGATAAATCTTGTTTTAAGGACGATTTGAGATGAAGTCTGATGCTGGTCTGAAACGTTGAGAAACCACACTTTAACCACAAAGTTCTTCGGTCTGATTTGAAAAGAGCATGCTGCTTTGACAGCAAATGCACCATCAGTGCTTCATCATCAATCATGGAAGCCTTACATTAAATCTGTGGTTGTGTCAAGGTGACACCTTTAAAAGTTTATATATAATTTACCACTCATCTGATGCTGTGAAGTGTCAGTCAGTAATACAACGAGTAGAAACCCTTGCTTCTGAATATTGCAATGCATTTGGGATCAAGCAGGTACATGTGGGGGCAGCATCTTTATCAATGCTTTGAACATCAGTGTCTACTAAATATCTGTGACTTGAGATTATCCCATCCATTATCCATTATCTATACACCGCTTAATCCTCACTAGGGTCACGGTGGGCTGGAGTCTATCCCAGCTGACTTAGGGACCCTCACCAGTCTATCACAGGGCTACACTTAGAGACAGACAACCAAGCACACTCACATTCACACCTACGGACAATTTAGAATCATCAATTAACCTCAACATGTTTTTGGACTGTGTGGGAGGAAGCCAGAGAACCCGGAGAGAACCCACGCTGCACAGGGAGAACATGCAAACTCCACGCAGGTGTCCTCACCGGGACACGAACCGGTGACCTTCTGGCTGTGAGGCGACGGTGCTAACCACCGAGCCACCCTGCAGCCCTACTTGAGATTATCTCTTACAAAATGAGGGGAGCACGAGGAGCCTGACCAGAATCATGCTGCAGCACAACAATGTGTTCAAATGCTGCAGGCTTTTCTGAACAGTCCAAACAGAAAACAGGCTACAGCAGGTCTAAATCTTTCCTTTTTGTTATTATTTAAAGACTGTTCGATATTGCATGGCCTTGATAACAAAGAAAACAATTATATCCACTCGATGACTATTCTAAGCCATGATAGGGCTTTTTGTGTGTTTGTTTTTAATCACAGCTGTTTTTACGATGTAAATAAAGTGTTATTTTGATCTGGTCATTTCGCCGATCCAGCACTCTCCTCATAGCTCAGATATTTCGTGCAGCTTGACCTCAGAGTCAGTTGGTGCAACAGCCAAAGCTTTCTTTACTGTTGACACGTGCAAAACTCCAACCCTTCACCTGATCCTTGTGCTGAAATTTGGGCATGCGGCATGTCTCAGAGGACACTGCCAAGAAATTAATTCCCAGTTACGCTGCCTGTAACATGATGATGGAAGCAGTCCATTAGTTTGGATCAGCCCCACGCTTCCACAGGGGCAAATGAAAGCTCAGGTATCTGATGCCCTTCCTGGATAAAATCAGGGAATACCTCTCTTGTTTTTTCAATATCTCAAGACAACCCTGGATCATTGATTGTCTATAGGTTTCCAGCCCCAGCGAAGTCTTGCGGTCCCATTACGGAGGCTAAATTGAGTGCATCTGGAGACTAAAAAAAAAACAACTACAGAGAGATAAAGTAGCATTTAGGTCCAGATCATCAGCTATGTAATGCAACTCTGGTGGTGGAAATTGCTCTGATGCTGCGATGCACCGCCGAGTATTGGTTAAATGAAGACAGGCAAAGCATGCTGGGAATGCAGGTGAAGTAAACAGCGACTGTCTCCGTCTGCACTCCGTCTCCGTGTCTCTCGGTTTTTATCCTTCCTTCGATCCCCATTAGCCGACGCCTAAGTGACTGTTTGTCTTCCCGCTGCTGACACGAAACAAAACTTTACGACACGGCTGGCATCTCGGGACCGACTCGGGGGACTGCATTAACAGTAATAGATATTTGTATTGACGACGTAATCTTTGTGAGAAAGGTGCAAGAACAAGAAGCTTCATTTCATTTCTTTCTGCTACTGAGAACATTCGGCTGATAAGAACTTGGAGTCGACGCAAAGTGGAAACGGACGCATTAATCTCTCCGTCATTGTCTCCCTCCTCTGTTCTTTTTCATCACTTTCTTTTGTCAAATACTTTTTCTTCCTTCCTGTCCTTTATCTTGTCTCGAGCTCTGTGTTGATCTCTCTTTTTATTTTCACTCCCGTTTTCTTGCTTTCTTAGCGGAATCGATGCTTCGATTCTCGTTCTGTCTCCGTCCGACTTTCTTTATTTCACCCATACATTTTTCCCTTTAACTGCTCCTGTCTGTACTTTTCTGTTTTCAGTGTTGCGACATGCCTTCGTTTCTGTCTTCAGAGATCTCTATCTCTCTGCCCGTTGCTCTCTTTCTAATCCCTGTTTAATCCATGTTTTATAGATTGTATACATAGCTTCTTTTTTTTTTTATTGCCCCCTGTACCACCTACATAGAGCTAATAAAGAGAAAAGGACATTTAATCTCAGCTTTCTCTTTCACTTCCAATTCCCCTCATTCCCCTGCTATATATATTTCAGCCAATATCGTATTGATCAGACTAATACAGCCGTGCTGATGGTCTGGCAGCGTTTGATTATAAACACAAGTAATGAATAGAGTGATAAGCAGACGGATGAAGCCCCCGCGCGTCTGTCTCTCTGCTGCCTGTCAATAAGCCACTTATTTACAGTAGCGTATCGGAATCTGATCCCATGTTGGAGGGTATCGATCGTGTTTGTGGGGTACGACTTCATTTAACCTTGGAGGGCGTTGCGAGAGAAGGGGATCGAGTTGGAAAGATTATGCTAATTATGCATTTTTGCTTTAATAGTAGCAGTGATCATAATGACTGGAGATCTACATTGTCAAGTACATATGATGCGTCCTCGCTGTAGCTTTCTCTAGCACTCATTTCAGACATGCAGCACTGTTTTCCATTCCATCCGACAGCATCTGATCTGTCTTCTTCCTGTCTCAGTGAGCACCCTGGATGGCAATTTTACCAGCTTGGACCTCGAACAACACTTAACTGCATGTCACACACACATAAGAGGTTTGCTCTGAGTTGTGTGGAGAGTTTTTTTTTTTTCCACAGTTCAGCACCAAAAACATCACACAGAGCAAAAGACACAGTTTGAGTCCTGTAGTCACTTTGCCCTACAGCATCAGATCTACTACAAACTGTCTTCACTACAAAAAAGTTTTTCTTTAATTATTTAAGTAATAAGAAGAAGCATTAATAATAAATGTATCCAGATTTTTTTTAAACAGGAGCTGAAGTGTAGTTTGTTGCTTCCAGCTGTCTGCGGGAGGCTTTCCTCTCAGTTTATTAAAGACATCGAAGAGAGAATTATTTGCATTCATCCATGTATCCCACGTCTGCAAAGTGTTTCTGTCACACTTGCAAATTAAACCAGAAAATTGTGTTAGTGTCCAACTAATCTGATTATATTAATATCCACGAACGCCTTTAAATGTCACGTTGGTAAAGGTCGGATAGCCTTTCTGGCAACATATCCACCATGACACACATTTAAAGGAACTTTTAAAACCATCCGTCAGAAGATTCAGACTCATGGTTCTGGTGATATATAACTACAGTATGTGGGAAAAGTAGGCCAAAAAAAAGAAGTATATTAAACCCTAAACAAGTGTAATCATGTCTAATAGCATGATTTTGTTTGTCCCTTTGCATATTATCGTTCCATCTTCTCACTTATGGCTACATTTTGAACATCCTGTGGATTATTTCAGGCTCTAAATTGCAGCATCTGGAAAAGAGAAAGAGGCAGAGAATAAATGCGATACATAGTTTGGCAGCCAGGGATAGATGGGACTGGATGATAAAAGCGAGAGACAGATGAATGAAGGTTGGTGGCTTCCCGTAGGCCAGCCATGCTATCACCTCTCCACCAGATTCTGCTCTCAGCAAGATGGCAGCTCCATAACAGTAAACAACCCCTGTGTGGATGTAACAGGAGGGACTGGGGGGGCAAGAAGAAGAAAAAAAAAAAAAACGAGAGCAAATTTTGGGACTGAAATTACAGATAAACAATGTTTTTTTTTCCCTGCAAATTTGCTCATTTCCTTCCTGGAACATCGCAGGAAAGTGAAGGAAGATAGCTGAGAGTCAAACTGAGTTACATTAATCATAATTAATGAGAACGAGACAATGGTGACTCGTCAGTTTTGGGCAAAAGTCATGTTTCAGCAAAACTGTGTGTTGGTCTTTCTAATGAGGTCAGAGGTCAGAGTGACATCATCCTCACCAAGTTAATAAATAAGACGGAGGAGAAGCAGGAACGGGCTTCAGATAACAGCTGAGGAGGATGATGATGAAGGGAGAGGAGAAGGGGATTTAGGGAGTGATTCAGCAGCGACACAGCTTTTAAAAGAGTCTTTTCTGTCTGTGAACAAAACATTCCAGACTCAGATGTAGTCTACCTCCATACAGAATGCTTATTTTCCAACTGCTAGATGACTAAAATGATTCGAATACAGCAGATATTTTGTGTGCGATGACTGCAGGTTGGTTTCAGATGTGAGAAAAATGCATTTTTTAAAGCTTTATTCTCTCAGTTACCTTTGCTGGTTTTAAAACGTGTTCTACTAGTTTGTACTCACTTGTTTCCTGCAAAAGATCCTCCGAGTTTAGCACTTAAAAGCTTCCTGTGTTTAATGCATTCACAAGAGTAACAATTATCTCCTCAACTGAAGCTCCACCAAGTCGTTTTTTCTTTTTTCTTTTCGTTTTGACCTTTATGGAGGCAAAATTGTCTCTTGAGGTTGAAATTTTGTTTTAGAGAGTTCTGATAAAATGGAATAACAAACGTCCAACCTGTCGCTCGGTGCTTCTGGAAACTCCACAAAAACTTTGAAGCTAGCCTGTTAGGAGTTGACTCCTAAGCTGCAGGAAGTGGACCCAATTAAGGGAGGTGGGTGGTAAAAAGAGGGTTTTTAATCGGGGAAGGAGTGAGGACACCAAGGAAGCAGGAGGGGGAAGTGCCGGTGCACGCTGGACTTCATGGGGAGAGGTGAGAGGGCTTAGGGGGCTCAGGGGAGGGAATCCGTGTTCTGGGGAAGAGGGATGTCGTGACGGCTGGGATCTAGTCGGGGGAAACCTTGAGATCTGCTGGTGGTGGTGGTTGCCTCGTAGTGGCTGGGCAGGAGAGTCGTCAGGTTGAGGAGGCTCTGCAGAGGATGCAGACGCGAAAAACGTCAGCATAGAACTGAAGGACAACAAACACAAGAACTCGAAATTAAGCGTCGCCGATCTACCACTCGTTGGGGAGTTAATCCTCTGGCACCACATCACGGGGAGAAGCCAGCTTAAAAACAGCACTGATTGTGATGTGGGGCAGGTGTGGTGGATAATGAGCGAGTCCTCCTCGACCGTGGCCCCGCCCATACATCCCAACATAGCCGTTGTCAATCTGAAGTGAAGACAGCAACTGCATGTCTCATTTGTCTCCTTCAAATGTTTTCAGAAATGCATCTTAGTGAGCTGCTTTTGCAACACAAGCGAAAGTTTCCAACCAAGCCATCATGTAGAAATCCAGCAGCAGAGAGCATACGAGTGAAGCAGTCGTCCGATCAGGTGTAGCTCATGTTTGCAACCATGTTTATGTGGCCAGGACTGTATGTCCCAGAGCAGAACGTGGGCGGCGTATTAATGAGACGATCAATGTCACAAACTTCAAGTAAACAGTGTCAACATGAAACACCTCAGAGAAATAAGTGAACGCACCTTCTTCTGGAGTTGTCTTCTGCATTCTGGGAGAAATCTCTAATTGGCGTAGAAGTAGGCCTGGCAGGCTAAAGGCCAGGGCGTGATTGAAATGAACTATTTTGTACAAAGTGTGATTGCACATGTCGCCGGGCACAAGCGGTTAGAGCTGTTTGGAATGGCCACTCTTGAAACGAAAAAGCTGGCCATTACAGAGTAATCATCTTCAAAGTGGGGACGGCGGTGCACGGGGTCAAAGTGAAAACCCTGCTCGCCCATCTGACCAGGCGCTGCATGTGCCGGGCCCGCTCGGCAGACGGTCGCTTATGTAAAGACGCTGTTATATTCAAGCCTTCCTGCCTGGGTGCTGGAATAAGTGGAGGAAGTCTCAGATGCTGTTTGATGACAGCAGCTTAAAGCATATGGCGCCTCGAGACGAAGCCTGTGACCACATAAAAGCAAATATTCACAGAATAACTCGAGAAATGTACGATTTCTCTCCAGTCATTGAATAAATCCTTAAAACTCATCTCTGTGTATCAGAGTTATAGAAATGATTTATTTCTTTCTAATTAAAATAATCCTTTAGCGTGATCCCGTAATATAACTTGACTGAGAGTCTCCGCCCCTCTGCTACTTGCTGCAGCTGGAGCACACCAGCTCACCCACGACTCTGTCCTCACGCTGTAAATTAATTCAGCCCCACGCTGCAAGCTGATGATATGAGTTCTTTAAGTTTGTTCTGGATGAAAACCTGAAGTGTTTGTATCAGTACACTGAAGTTTAAGGTGCTTGTTTTACTCCTCGTGTATCTTCCAGTATTACTAAACATCTTATGGAGGAGTTAACAAGATAAAATACTGCCTTTGTATTGGACAGGGTCTTTGAACACGACAGACTGGGTCGCTGTATTTAAAGGTGTGGGTTTTTTTCACCATGTCTTCTCGTCGTGTTCGCCTCCTTTCAGATAGAAGAGGAGAATGCGGCTCTGCTCGCCGCTCTGACCGACAGCTTGGATGGCATGGTGGACGCCGAGGTGGGCGGGCTCTCCGTCTTCCCCGCCCTGGGGGAGGAGCCCAGCCAAGAAGAGGAAGAAGAGGACAGCCTTCCTCTCAGCGCGGAGGACTTCAGTCAGTCCCTGGGGGCCGAGACGGAGGACCCATCTCTAGTAAGAAGCCCTCTTTACCTAAAATAAACTGCTCTTTGTCTCTCCCATGCTGCTGGACGTTGCGGTTACTTTCATCTCCATCGCGGGTCCCTGAGCCTCCCTTACGCAACACATATCTGAACATTTACCCCCCCCTCCTCCCTCGTTTAACAACTTGATATTTTCACCCCAGATACCCTCGTGTTTCGTTTTTGTCAGCGGTTTGCAAATCAAAAGTCTCTCGCAGCTCACAAACCGCCGCCTGTTGAAGTGGATCCTTTAATGCATGCTTCAAACACCATCTTGCCACCCCCCCGACACACTGTGCCTCTGCTGTTCCCATGCTCTCCCTCTCTCTTTCACCCCCGTATCTCAATCTGTGTCGCATGTGCTAACCTTGATGTTCCCCTTGTTGGCCCGCGAGGTTCAAAGTCTGCCTTTAACTCCAGGAAAACAGAGGCACAAAGTAACCTTTCCTCCAGACCCGTCCTGTGTGTGTGTGTGAGTGTATTTCTAGGGACCACGTGTCATTTCAGGAATAGAAATAAAATGCAAAAATCCTTCAGGCAGAGGACAAGCTGCAGATGCTTCGTCAAGGAGTTTGTATGCGAATTGTATTTAGTTTGTTTTTTTCCATAAATTAAATGTCCTGAGAAATAATGGAAAGTAATTTACAAGAAAATGAAGATTGTTCACCCCTGCATGAGATTAAATAGAGCATTCACAATTTCAAAGATGAGTTATGAGAAGATAGATCGCTTCTACAGTGTCTGTGAATAAAAAATATTTTTTATTCACTGTGTTGCCACCATGTTATTGTCTTCCCAGATCTTTGCAATTACTTTGTTGGGCACAAAGCTACCATAATTAATAGAAAGGATGGCCAAACCTACAAAAATAAAATCATTTTTCTCTCTAATCCTCTGAACTCCAGCAGTTTCTGGGCATTTTTTTTTTTGCTTTAGCCACATTTCCGCCAGCAGGTGTTGGAGTCCAGGGGGGTAAATGAAACTAATTTTCTACAAAACAATGAAAAATAAAAGAAGAAAAGTCATAATGTCATAAAAGAAGGGCAGAAGTTTATTGTTCTCAGTTTTGTTTCTGCAGTTATTTGATATTTGAATAAACTCAGTTATTAGAACTTTTTTACTTTTTTTAGTAATTTTGTTTTCCCACAAGTGTGTTACTCTGATAACCACAAGGCCACCAGCGAATACAAAGGATGGTCAAAACCTCCTGAAAAATAGAACCCAAATTGTAATCCATCATACTTTCCCCTTTGAAATCAGAATCAGGTTTAGGCTTGAGGAGCAGGAATAACAAAAGTAGTCCTCACAGGTGCAGTAATCCAAATGTGTGTGGTCTTCCAGCACATGGTCAAGCGCTCATGTGTGTGTTTGCTTGTTTTCACCCCCGTTTTCCTTCGTTCTTTGTTCACACAGTGCTGCTGGATGCCTCTCTCTCTCTCTTTTCTCTCTCTGGGCCCCTCCATCGTTCGCTGAACCCAACTTCTAGGAACAAACCTTGTTTGTCTCTCCTCGCTTTGCCCCCTCCGTCCCCCATGTCGTGAGCCCCTGCCTTCAGCGAGACCCCCTCCTCCTCCTCCTCCAAAACACAAAACTCATCACGCAGGAACAACAAATTGTCATACGTCCGTCCACTGAATGTCGTAGCCTGCTTTCCCCTCGGTCAGAAGATTGCAGGCCTGCTGCTGGCTCGGGAGCCTAATTGAGGCAGGAAGCTATTTGGCTGAATTAAGCGACTTATGATTACTGCTGTAATGTGGCCCTATTGCACTTGTCAAGATGAATCCACCCCACTTCCTTAATTTGACTTAAATTTCACAGAAAAGAAGGCCGCATACAGTGTTTTTTTCTTGTGCGCTCTGATTTAGCGGCGGCCTACAAAGATGCCATTGTTTGTCGGTCATGAGGCACGCCGGATGGTTGAATACCTACCAGCGTAAATCTTCACCGAGCCGCTCTGCCGTCCCGTTCGCACTCACACACTGAGACCAACCATAAAACAAATGTGTCAGCAGAGATTTGTGAAGCTTTAAAATGAAAGGTCGGGTGTTTCGCAGCTCTTAATGTTCAGGGTGGGTCAACGGTGGGCAACGGGAGTAAAAATACAGACAGTTAGAAACGTGAATTCGAACAGATATTGACGGATGATTAGAGGTCCTGAGGATCTGCATGTTTCATCCCAAGTTTAAGAGACGTTGAGAGTTTGATTAAATTTCTCTTTGGGTTTTTAATAAGCTTCTCCAGATCTGATGATTTTAATATAACTCCTGCAAAATGATGCCAACAGATGAACCATTACAGTAACTCCTATGTATTAAACATAAACTTTCAGAAACGTTTATTATCTGTTGCTATGGATACAGAGCAAAGCAGCTTAAAAGGATCTTTTTCTTTATTTATCTGTAAGACTTTTTGATCCTGTTAACCACTTCACAGACTAATGCAGAGGCAGGAAGAAGCCAGGATCAGCTCTTGTTTGTAGCATTTAATTACATTTTTTGTCGCTTTGACCATCGGTTCTGTATTTTAGAAGCATTTAAAAGTAAACTAAGACCTGCAGGGTGGAACTTTTGTCTCCCCCTTCTGGCAAAGAAAGAGTATTTATACAAAGACAGTCAACAGGTGCTTCTGCATGTCTCACTGTTTGTCTTTACTGGACTGTAATCCTTCCTCTGAATGTTGCTTTTTTCATTTAGAGCTTCGCAAACTTTTTTTTTTGAATGCTTCTGAGGTTTTTCCTTCATCGTCCTAGTAAAAAAAAAATGGAGGTTTTTCTATAGATACTTTACTACTTCACATGTTTAACTTATTTTTTGTCACGTAGCTGTTGGTCACAACAAAAGTACTCGTGGTGCCTCTGTTGTGCTGAGGAGCATGGGATTTTTTTGTTTTTCACACAAACTGTTTAGTTCAAATGGTTTAGTTTTGGCGATTTTTAAAAACTGAGACACATAGAATAGACGGATTCTGATCAAATCTGATTTTAAGCTTAGGTGTGGTTACTTTTCCAAACAGAACTGCAGATGCCTTCTGATTTTCAGGGACTGGGCCTGATAAGTTGTGTAAATGTTCTTTTAAAGATACTATTGCCTTTAAAACTTGCTTGCGGGTTTATCTTTGGTTTTTAAAACATGTGAATTGGACTTTTTTGTTAGTGGCTTCACTGAGTTGTCAGCATTTGTTTTTATGAGTGTTGTGATCTTCCAACAGATACAACCAATTACCAAAGCTACTAATGAGGAAAAAAAAAAGAAACTGCCGTAATGAACCCGAGGTTTTCTTGACCACTATCACAGTTGGTCGCAGCAGCAGCAGCGGTGCAGGATCCGACCGGTATCAGAGAGAAAAATGACCAGTGGATGGGGCATTCCTTCCAAATTGGTTGAAATGATAATGACTCCAATGACCTTAGATGTTTCAGTGCAGTAATCAGGGTAGTTTGGCAGCTGAGGAAGCCAGAAAAAAAATTCCAAGCCTCACAGCAATAAGCATTAGTGTGTGGCTTACAGTACGTTGGCATAGCTACGCCATGCGGGACGCAGCGAGGCAGAACCGGTCGTGTTGCTGCTGCAGTCTGTGAAATGCCATGAAGGTATTGTTTTAGTCCAAAACAGCAGGTCAGCGATACGGAGAGGTCACGCCACGAGATGCCATCGTCTCCTCTGTTGTGGTGCAAAACATTGTGGCTGCACACATGACTGCCCTGCCCTTGCTTCTCCTTGAGGACTCCTTGGTTATCAGTCAACTTGTGTCACCATAAGACTGAGCGCAGCCCGGTTAATAAGTCATGCCTGCCAATTTCCTCAGTTTCCACCTCCCAGCGAGAAAAGACACTGAAGGTCAAATGAGAAGGCGGCGGGTCACGTTGAATAGTTGATGTTCTAACACTCAGAAGAAGCTGATTAAATGTCATCATCTGTCACCGTGCTTTATTGATCCCTGCGTCTTCTGACATGGACGCAGTGACGTCTGGTGCACATCATGTGCTCTTTGCACGATTATTGAGAGAAATCTCAGTTTCTTTGCCATGAAAAGGATTCAAATCGAGGGACTTGACTAGAATAAGAGTTTGAAGCTTTAATAGCAGATTGGGAAGTTTGGAGACGGATGGATGCTGCGTTTACCTTCAACTTCACAGACGATCCTCCTGTTAAATCTGATTGAAATCCAACAACTTAGGGTTTCACTTTTGTTCATAAGCTACCTGCAATTAATGTTGAGAAACATGAACTCAAACCGCAGCAGTCTTTTGGATTCCCAGACACGCAGAGCTCAGGCAGCTGCTTGTTGCTTCGTACCTTTGACAGCTGGCGTAACACACTTTCCCAAAACCTTTGTCACACACTCCCTTTTTCCGTCACAGCACCACATACTACTACTACGATTCCTACCTCTGCTCCTGTATCTCTTGTTGCTTCTAAGAAGGTCTCCCTTGGGCGTCATCCTGGTTAGCACCTGCAGGCAGCAAGTTTGTGACGAGCAAGTCAAGCTGGCTGAGCGCTGCAATGAGATGCGCATTGTCATTAGCATAGCAGGAACACTGGTGACAGTTTTTCCATAGCAGAGAAAAAACTTGTTTTTCTCCACTTATGAGCAGCTTTAAATAGTCGTGCAGTCGACAGGAGGGATGTAATTAACCCTTCCAGCCCCAAATCTTTAAGAAACTGTGACAATTACACCATTTATCAGAGGCAGGCGCTGTAAAAAAAAAAAAAAAACAAAAGCAAAGACTCATTATGTTTTTAATTTTCCAACAGTTGTTAAATCAGCCGTGTGTGACGTGTGCTTCCATCAGGTAAATTATCCAAATCTAAGCTTGAAACTGTGATATTTCATCTGTTCACTTCATTGTCTCATTTCAAAATTTGCCAAAAAATAAACAGCTTGCACCAGATTCTAAGAACAAAACAACTTCCTGCTGCAGTCGACAGTCATCAGACAAAAAGTGGGAGACTTTTTGGCTGAACTGCAGGCCGTGTTTACGCAGAGCAGAGA